TAAAACAGGTAGATTCAACTGCATGCTGTCATTAGAATCTCGTGGATTTTTACCGTCCGTAGGGTTAAGCAATAAAGAAGTCGATGGAACCGAAACCGCGAGACTTTTTTCTATAATATCGTTTATAAGACACACAACATCGCAATAACGAATTTCAAATTCCGATCTGCAGCCTTCATAGGCTTCTGCGGCTCCCTTTTCAAGTTGCTCTATCTGGTATTGAGTTTCGTTAAAATCGTTTCTAATTCCGTCAAGAAGTGATAATCGTGCTTTTAATTGATTGATACTGACCCCAGGACTATATGACTGTACATATTCCTCTATTCGTTTCAATGTATCATCAATGGTTTTCAATTTGCTTTTTTGCTGATCTAATTTAGACATATTTTTGAATAATTAATGAACCTTAAAGCCAATTAAAAATGTATAGATACACAAATACGCGTTGAAGCTAGCCTTGCAAATATGGTAAAAAAGGGAAATCTTAGGACAAAAGAGCCACTAACCTTTCTCCTCTCAATGGTTTACACTCGTCCACGATAAGAGTGTAGCTTTAACGTGTACTGACTCCCTCTTGTTGAAGCCCTAGTTCCGATGTTGAGATTTTTGCACGGGGTGGTGATTCCTCGTCGGAGATGCTGCCCACTGCTGCCGCGAAAATCGCTGAATGACGACTTCTTCCACGGGGTGGCGTTTCCTCGTCGGAGATGTTGCCCACTGCTGCCGTAGAAATCGCTGAATGAACCTCTTCCGCGGGGTGGTGTTTCCTTTGTCGGAAATGCTGCCCACTGCTGCCACGGAGATCGCTGAATGAACCTCTTCCACGGGGTGGTGTTTCCTTTGTCGGAAATGCTGCCCACTGCTGCCACGGAGATCGCTGAATGAACCTCTTCCACGGGGTGGTGTTTCCTTAGTCGGAAATGCTGCCCACTGCTGCCACGGAGATCGCTGAATGAACCTCTTCCACGGGGTGGTGTTTCCTTTGTCGGAAATGCTGCCCACTGCTGCCACGGAGATCGCTGAATGAACCTCTTCCACGGGGTGGTGTTTCCTTTGTCGGAAATGCTGCCCACTGCTGCCACGGAGATCGCTGAATGAACCTCTTCCACGGGGTGGTGTTTCCTTTTTTAGAAATGCTGCCCACTGCTTCCACGGAATTTGTTAGTTGAAAACTTCTTCCATGGGGTGGTGTTTCCTTTTTCAGAAATGCTGCCCACTGCTACCACGGAACGTCACTACCACGCGTCGCGTATCAATTCGGAATAATACAATCGCGGTATTAATATCCGGCTCGAAGGACCAATGTGGAAACTGTAGTGATTATTAATTGTGGAACGACGTGCACTTTTAACAACGATTTATTGATTATTATGTACATGTCAATATATATATTATATGATGAAAGTATTTATGTGTTTTTGCGACGCGTGCCCGTTGACGGGTTGTTGGTGACTCTGGTCCGCCACTCGTTCGTCCAGGAGGGCGGTGATGAATCATATTGGGGGTGGTACCGAACACCCGACGAGAGCCGAGCGGCCGAGAACTTCGGGTGGTACCACACACTGGCATTAGTGATTATTACGGTATATTCAGTGAAAGATTGGGACCTCATGGCAGGCGCTTTTTATATTTGAAACTAATTTGGTCTAATAAAGGAAGAGGCTAATAGAGAATCAACAGCGTAATAAATTTTATTCAACTGATTAATTTTAAAACTCTTTTAAAAAGATTGTATTGCAACCTTTCTATTTCAAAATACTATAGGACGTAGAAATAATTTCAATTAATATATTTTAAGCATTATTTTAGGAAAATTGTAAATTCATTCCATGTTCAGTTTGTTATAAACTATGCGAAAGGGCTAACACAAGGCTAACGTATTTTAAATTCTATATTCTCCAATTTTAAGGATTCTGTCAATTATTTTTGAATTTGTCATTTAAATGGGAACGTAAACGTGATACCATATGATTTTTTAAATTGGATATAATGGAAGGCTCCGGAAACAAAAAATATGAAAGACATAGGGCGCAGGTTCATTAGAATAATCTTGTGTCAATGACAGTGACATTCATAAAATATAATTAAAAGAAGTTCTACGTCTTTTAATTTCAGAGCCTGATCTCATGCCAAATTTAACAAAATCATTCGGTATATTCACATTTTTTTTACATGTTATTTTCAAATAGATAATACTAAATATAATAATAATTTAGTTCAATAATATTTAGAAAAAATAAAAAATACTGATGTTTTGTCATACTCCATATTAAATTAATCGTATTATAAAGTTGTTTACTAGATAATATACAAATGATCCAAAATAGCATAAACTGAGAAAATCCGTTAAGGCAGATGAAACAAATTTTATCGCAATTGCATTCTAAAAAGAAATTTCAAATTTCCTTGCTATCAAAACTAGAATTTTTATGACATTTTTTAATTTAATATTTTAGTTGGTATCTTAAAAGAAGGAAAAACTGGTTGTAATAATATAGTACTTTGCGTAATCACATTACAAAAAATGTGCTCATGGACAAAAATATGGAATATTTTGAAATGTTCATAAATTTTTGAAATGAATCTACACATTTGTGCAAGCCTAAAAGACCTGAATTTATAAACGGAATCATCACGGGATAATTTTTATCATCATATGCTAATTTTAGGAAATCTTGTTCATTATTTTCAAATAGGTAATCGTAATTACAAAACACATTTCATATTTTGCTCCGTGAATATTTAGGGAAATGTCATGAAATTCGTAGTTTAGGAAGATAAGAAAAGTTTTGAATCGCATGGTGACAATTAGAGTACTATATTATATTTATGATATAATAAAGTACTTTAGTGACAATTGTGACGTCATACATTTTTTCTGTTTTTTTTCCTAACATAATTTTTTATAGACATTTTAAATCTATAACAGTACACTTAAAAAGTGCTACTAATAACATTACAGCTTTGAAGATCTGTAGTAACCAAAAGTTAAAAGATTTGTTAATTTTCACATCACAAAACTTGAAATTAAAAGAAACATCTAAAAAACTAAATCTTAGATTCACCTTTCTGACTGATTTTTTTTTATTTTGACGAAAAATTGTTGTTTACTACTATCGCTTCTAACTTCAGTGCTTCAGTGTAAATACTAACGTATAGTGAACCAAGACCTATAAGGTTATATGGCCATCATAAAAGTAGTTGACCGCAAATAAATACCCCCTTTGTGTGGTTCGCACTAAGCTTACCGGTTGGCAATAAATCATCTTCTAAACATTTCTTGCTCATATTTAACAGGGCCGTCTTTCAAAGCGAGTGGTTATTTCGGAACCCTCAGCGACTGCAGGTAGTAAAGAAATAGTGGAGTGGTGGATTTTCATATTTAATGAAAGCCGTCCCTGAACGAAACTACAAGAGCCGGTCGAGCTGCAGTTATTTACGACCCTAAAACCTTTTCTATTGTAAACAACTTAATTTCGACACAATGGGATGATTTTATGATGGCCATATAACCTTATAACTCTTGGTTCACTATACATAGTTATTTTATATATTGTTATTCCTTGACATGTCATTGAATTCTTTTAAAATCACCGCAGACTAATAATTTTCGAATACACATAGTGTTCCTCACATAACGTACCCACATCAGAGTTCTCTTTATTCATCATTGATTTATCTATGAAATAGATGATTATGGCATGAAAACATAAAATGTGTGTTGCCTATCACAACGGGTGTTCAGTGGAAAGAGTCATCAAATTGGCGTTGATTTTTTATAAACATTATGAAGTATGTCTGAAATAAGCCAAAAATTTAATCGATGACAACTGAAAACTCGGAATGATACAACCTATTCTCACTTTTATAACAAAATTAACGCCTTTAAAGAACTCTGTTAAATATATCATTTATACACGGTAGTAAGGATTAATAAAACACATGCGTTTTTCGCTACGTTCTCTTCCACAAAAAAACACGCTAACTTGATGACTTTGTCAGTTGACCACCCCTTATATTCTAAATTTTGGGATCATTGTAAAATCACATGTATTGTAGAATCAGTTTTAAATTTTGTTGTAATTTTTTTTTCACCAAAGCGAGAAAAATCGTTACCTTTTTGATACAACAATCACTTTCAGACGCTATTTCTTTTGATCCGGTTTTTCTCAATTTTTTTCTTCTTTACTGTTACTACAATACGATTATACTATACTTAGAAAAAATGACAGAATTCAATGCTGTAAACAAAAACAAAACAAAAATACTAGAGTCAAATAAATTACATGCTGCAAATAATGATGCTCAAACTACCAACTGCGAGAACAATAATAAACCTGATCAAAGAGAGCCATGAAATTTTGAAAGTTTTTTCAAATTGACGGTAAATCTAGACGAAAATACTATTAAAGACGAATCTTCAAAAATGCATGGCTGTTATTGATGGTGTTTTTTATTGCTTTTTCGTTGCTCCGAGGTACTCTACTTCACAAAATTAGCCAACATTTTTTATATTTTTTGGAACAAACACCAAATTATTACAAAATTTGAACTTAAGGGCTTCCATGGAACACGCGAATTGTTTTATGAATTATAGTTGTCATAAATTTGTTAAAATGTCATCTTCTGAAGAAGGTTGCTTTCCAATTTAAAAGTGTTAGTTACAGAAACTGTAGAATCGTCTCTGTTCTACAGGAATAAACACCGCGCACACTGTCGCCATTGTATGATTACAAAACTGTTACGAGACTTACGAGATAAGTGTCACTCATGTTACAGCAGACCTATTGAATGATATTATAAAACATTTATACGTGACCTATATTTGTATGAACTAATTCACGACATAGTTGATTAGTTTTATTGCCACTCCTAAGTTCAAATGCAATTATTCGCAGACTTATTTAAACCAATAAATTTTAGCAATTTAAAATTATTTTTAGATTATTTATAAGCTAACACTAACATATTTTTTGTTTTATGTTGCATGGTGCATGCAGATTTGAGTTCAACAGGTAAGAAATAGCATAGCAATAAATGTTTTAATAAATTGTCGTAATACTACTGTAAAACTAGTTTATAAAGATTCAGTTATTGTTATTTGCATAAAGAAAGATCAATATTTCCAGAAAATCGCTTAATTTGTGTATATTGCATGCTGTTTGTTTTAAAGTATAGAAATTGCTTTTCCAGCTTTTATTGCCGTTTTTTTGTTTCATTAATTTTAATCAACTCATAAAAGTTCGTTAATTAACTTTTTTCTGTGCTTAGTACTCTGCAGCTATGGAACACAAAAATCGACGCCGTTTATAACTACTGGGGATTAAATAACACGTTAGGTGTTAGAGGGCGCATTAAAGATCAAAGTGACGACCAAAAACTGCTCGAAGTAAACTACACGCCGTTCCTTCTTAACAACCAATCCATTCTACAAAAGGGAAAATGTCCTCCTGGATGGGATTTAGTTGGGGGGACTTGTTACACTTACATAGGGGCCCCCATGACATTCCACGAAGCGAAATCATTTTGCCAGGTAAATTAATACTCGATTTCAAATGAGCAAACAAGTAAACAATAACTTTGCAGGCCGATAACGCGTCAATACCCTACTTGTTGGGGAATTTGAATTATGTCGAGCTGTACGAATTTTTGAGGTCGCAACAACAATGGTACTTATATTCCGATAGGGTCTGGGTGCAACATATTGACAGAATAAACGAATGCACTATCTTTGCATATCAGAAAGTTGAAACGGATGACTGCGAACAAAGAAATCCATTCATATGCGAAATAGGTACTTGATGTGTTAATATTGATATACGAATAGTTGTTAAAACAGTTGTTCAAACTACATTATACTAGATTTTGAATGGTAAATTAACCATGTGTGTTTCCAGATCCTAAGGTATCCATTAGCATCTTACCGTTGACTGACGACCTAGTGACAATCGTTGCGTTTAGTAGTGTGGCATTGGCACTACTTCTGATTGGGATTGTGGGGATATGCTGGTGGAGCAAATCTAAATATCGCCATGCACAAAGACTGGAAAGAAGAAATAGCATTCGCCAGAGCTTACATTCCTTAAGATCTGTTGGTTTGGCTCCTGGAACCTTTGCTGATGCTAACTACCGAAGAAAGGCAGCTCAACTTGTAAGTTTTTCACGATAAGTGAGTTCGTACTAATCAATTTAATTTTTTAGAGCACCAGATCCACCGATACTTTAACTAAAAAGATGATCACAACAAATGGTTCCATCGACAGCATGGAAAAGTCGACGTACACTTCATCGATCGACGATAATCAATCGTATGACGTTTACGAAGCCCATAATCCTAACCCTTCCGCTTTTGCTTATAGCCCAACGATAGAATACCACAAATCGCCGAATCGTTTTGAAAACCAATACGCAAAACCTAATGGGTACGACCTAGGTTTCAAAAACGAAGGTTTTCGAGATAATTCAACTTTCGCCACCAACTCGAATTACCAGTCACGAGCGGAAAGTATTCAAGATAACGCAAACGAAGAAACTCCCATTATACAAGACAACGGTGGCAATAGTGTGTCATACCCACCCAGTGAATATTATACCACAGACACTTTACCACTGAGTACCACCTCAGGTAAATCGGATTCGACTTTGGATTTGAAGAAAGGGATAGACGATATCAATAAGAATAGAAATTATGATCCTATATATAGTAGAGAGAGACCCAATGCAAATTTGTTGAATGAACTGAAAAATAAATTCCCGCACCGTCCACCTCCCCCACCAGATCCGGTATCAACAGACGTCCAGTCTCCTACGTATTCAGAAAAACTTGAGGGTTTGCAGTACTCACCAACTCCTGATTATAACACAGTAGGTTTAGCTGCACCAGATGTTGAAAGACCATCTTCAGCAGATGTACTAGAAACTGATTTTGATGTGCCTCATCCCAGACCTAAGATGAGGGCAAAAAGTGAAGTGTTTTTAGAGACAAATTTCGATTACACACCACCTGGTGGTAGTCCCCAATTTAACCATCCCATTACTGAATACAGTAGAAGTAAAAGTCAGCCATTAGAAACTGCGATGTAAAGCAGAACTAAATTGTTAGTGTCTTGTGATATGTGTCGTACTGACTGACTTTTTTTAAATTATGCTCTAATCATTCACCATGATGATTATATTGTGATACTAGAAACAAATAATTTTTTTGTAATTGTTAAGGATCACAGATGATGTGTTCGTATATTTTATATGTAATATCCTAAGAACTAGTAATTTATTGTTTTTTATATGTTAAAATTTAAGCGTTTTATAAAAATGACTGCATTAGGAATATTTATGACATAAGAAATAAGCTGTTGGCAATTCAACTGACCACCGTGAAAAACGAGGGTTATATGACTATTATATAAGTGCAATTAAAGATATCTATTAGATTTTTTATAACAAAAAATGCTTTTTTAATCAACGTTAGTTACAAATTAAGATGAGAGATGTATAGAAAATAAGATCTCGTTGTAAATATAAATCTTTTACTACAAGATAAAGCAGTTTTTACATCCTTTTCCTTGGGTAGGTACATCCAATATAAATATGCATTTGCATGTGCATCTCATTTATTTTAATGATGTTGATAAATTTCAAATTCTTAGGAAGTACAATAATTTAATGGTTTTAGTTAATGAAACCTCTTATGAAAATGTCAAGGTGTAACTGCAAAGAAAAATATTCTCTTGCTAATAAAAAGAAAGGAATAATATAAAACGACATATTGAATTTATAAAAATAAAAAATGACGTGTTAATACTAGAAAAAATTACACAACATAAAAAAGTAAATCCAAAATATGTAATATTTCATAATATGGAAAACTTCATTTATTGATTGGACACTGCTAGAACATTTAAAATAAATGTGAAAAATTCAGCCTAACCAGGTACTGTGTTTGGAAATTAAAATGGAACGAAGATTATAATTTGTTTTTTTTTTTCAATGTTCAAATAAAGGCAATAGTACAGATATTTGAAGAGGAGATTTGTCACGGGGTTGTACCCTTTAGCTCCCCTACAGGTCTTTCTTCCGTTAAATGTTTCTAATACATCGAAACATAAAATATAATTTGCGAAAAATTGTATCTGCCTGCACCTCAAGCCTGTAAGGGAGTCTAGCTACGGTTAGACATGGGTGTAACATTTTACATTTTTACATAAGTAGCAGAGACACAAAATAGTAAAAAATATTATGTGGATAATGCAACAGCCAGATGAAATTGTCTTTCTAAGAAAAAAGAAAAACAAAAAGATATAAGAAATAGTTATAAAATTAAATCATTACTTCAAAAAAGAAGATTTAACAGTGAGTGTAGAAAAAAAAACAAAATTAAATTTCCAAAAATAAATCTAAGGGTGTTTAGCCAGAACTTGCCTCGCCTCCAAAGCATGAACAAGTCTAGTTTCTGAGAACAATTATGAAATTGATTTTGTAAATTTTATTTACTTTTTTATAACCTATTTCTGTCGGCTAAAATAAAATATGGAACATTACATTCTAAATAAAGAAGCATATCCCCATTATCCCCCTATAAATTTCAAGACAACTTCATTCTGTTGTCCATTTTCAAAGTTAAAGTATAATTTCTTTTTACTTAGAAAAATTTGAGATGACGTCATCAAATTTTTGGTGGGAATAATTATATAAATTTGGTTAATATTTTACCATCTACACAATGTTCTTAAAACATACCTAAAATTTAAGTAAATCTAGAAGTTCCGATCTCTCTCTCAAAGTGATCATGTTTAAAATTATGTGGAAATGGTGGACAAAATAGTTCTACGTCACAATATCAAGAAGTCTTTAATAAAAAAAGTACGTCGACAAGTCAATTAGAATGCAAAATAATTACACTAACATAGGAAGAAAAACATTAAACATTACATAATTTTTACTATGTACGTTTAATGTTTTTTTTTGTTTTTCTTACATACCGTCGTTTTGATTTTTTTTTAAACGACTGTATTATAGGTGATGGCTGGACATCAGTATTATACAAAAAAAAAAACAGTGGTTAGGGAGCACACAAAAAAGAAAATAGAAATAAAATTTTAACAATGCAGGAAGGAAGAATATACAAAAAAATATTGGTAAACACAAGAACAGCTTGAAGAATAAGAAAAATTATTAAAACAAGATATTGGAACTTCAAAGCATACGAATATGTATCTTTTCCGTTTTCGTCTACACATGTGTGTTGAATTTTTTTTTAATTTTTATATTATCATCATATTAAGATTGGTTAATGATACTTCATTGAAATTTTGATAAGATACAAAAGTGTTGGCCAGAATTCCAGAATTTGCATGTTTATTTACTCCTTCATAAATTTTCTAAAAAAAAAAAAAAACGTTTGAATGGTCTGCAGTACTTGTTTACGCTTTTATGCATCGTCTTTTCACAACTTCTTATACAAAATGTGTAAAAATTTTAAAAACTATGAATCGACTTTTTGTTATGATGATCTCAGAAATCACGCAACCAATATTCCAGAAATTGTGAGGACATAGTAACCTTATACAGAGTCATACAGTATTTATCAAAATAAATATCAACATTCATTATCCCAGGCAGAACATGATGAACTCATCTGAAAAGTTAATATACAAGATTTTGTATTATGTTATTTTACATCAATTTGAACATGTCTAATCGAAGTCCTTTTTAAACAGTAAGAAATGTGAACAAATGATATATATGTCGAACATAAATCTGCTTATCCAGAAGTAATTAAAAAAATTGTAACAAAAACTGAATAATATTAAAACGCTACCATATGTCATGTGTTTGACTAAATTAACGAGGAGTGTAATATTTAACAAAGCTAGAAAAATTAATAGTAGAGCATAATTTTGCAGAAAACGGTCATTAATATTGCATAAAATGTGTAGGGTAGGAAAGTTCTAGAAAAAATATAATTAACATACTTGTTTGTTGTTTGAAATTTCTACCGTGTGCAGCGTGCGTTTAAAAAACTTTAAACCTTTAGTAATCACAATAAAAATGACTTAATAATATCTTGGTGTAATCATCCTTAAAATTGAGTACATATTTTTTACAATTGTATTAGTAGTTGCGAAATAGCAAATTTTGTTTGTATCTTTAAATTTGAATCGATGTTTCCTGCCGCACTTGTCACATGTAATAAAGTGACTCACCTAAACTTTTGCTTCGCTCATCGCTGTGGAGGTATTTTTATCGATTTTATAACACCATTTTGAAAAAAATGCAGTTATTTTAGTCATAAAAACCGAAGCATAATGCAGAGTTGGTAATTATTAATTTTTGCACATTTAAAATAGAACAAAAGAGGAACAGTTAGTTTATTACCAAGAGTATGGTAACTAAGAGTATGTATTATGCGAAATTATAATAGTTAATTCATCATACTTGACACTTGTTGGATTAAAAAATAATAAAAAAAAGATCACTCTGTTATTCATTAGTCGGCTGATAAAACTCCGGTTCAAATTTTTCATTGATTTTGTCACACAGATGGCACTTATAGTATGGTAAAAATTAGAAATGTAAAAACTATTCCAGGTGCATAGTGTTCATAGTATTTTTGTTTATACAATGGTACCGTAATAATTTTGACCTTTATTGTTCGGTCACTTAATAAATTGCGGCGTGTGCTGAAATTACATTGTGTAGGTCATCATAAGTTGCCTTGACCGACACGTTATGATATTTGAGTAAATAAACGGTTTTTAAATAAAAATATATTTCACAAAAAATCGTTTGATTTATGTAAATCACGATAACTTTTTATGAACACATTTATATATTTCTTTCTATTAAACTTCACGCAAAAAACATATCTGCATGTTGCACGTAAGTTCACGCAATAAAGTCCTTGTATATATGTAAAAAATGTTATCACGTATTTAACACAGAAATGAACTGCTATTTGCCTCATTATATTTTGGCAACTTTTATTAAGAATAATTTAGTTCCATGTTCTGAAAATGACCAGGAAGATTAAAATTCTTTCCATTTCAATAATGATAATATTAAATGGGTTTGCTGTTGTTTGTATTGAACCTCCCTCTTCTCTGAAACCAACTATGCTATACGCATACCAGGAAAAGTTTATTTAATATTTTTCTATGGAAATAAACAAGTTAAACTTGATACATTGTATGCACAATCGTAACGTTACTACTATATTTAGCAATCAATTAGCTGAGCTTTTGAAGAATTTTTCCAGACATCTTGTGTTACAATTACAAAAACAAAAGAATGTTCGTGACGAACAAGTAATACCACACTGTAAAAACAATGTAATTTTACCGTACGTAACTGCAACAATTACCCATATTAAAGAAGGAATTTACTTTAATTTTGAGGTAAAATTTATTTTATCTCGAGATTACACCCCACGTTTTGTAGAGAACACAGAAGTTTTAGTTAGAATTTTACACCTTCATAGTAAATTATAAATTATCGATTAACAATAGCAGATTAAAGTGATTAATGATTAAGATTGTCCCAGTTCGTAGAAATTTGCTTTACTTATGCCACGCACACTTTTGAGTAGCTCATGTCTGATTGAGATTCCTTGTTAAAAAATTCCAAGTCTCCTTGATGGGTTAATCCAATTAAATTCAAAAATATGTAAATATATTTACAATAACAAAAAATATCGATAAAATGGACGTCGAACAAAAAACTGGTTTACTGTTCTAAATTTTAATTTATAATACGTGATAACCTACAGAAGGTGAAGTCAACAAAGAAACCACGATTGTGTAACAATTTTCAGCATAATAGAAAAGCCTGGAAGGGTCGAAACGCACCTATAAAATTATTTTATTTCGTGGCCTAATGAAAACACTTCCAATTTATAAATTCTGCCGAAAATACTTATGGCCGTCGTAACTTGTGGTCATTTTTGGCTTTATTGGCATCATAAATTTTCACACAAAACCCGTTCTTTCGTGTCTAAATGGTCGATTTTTATTAATTAAGGTCGGGACTAGAGTTTTATGTAATTACCACCATTACCTTGTCTAATAAGATTAGATCATACACATACATGGCTTGTCTGGGTTGTTAAAGATGCATTTACTGTCGAATACACATTTTTCAAATTTTGCAGATAAAAGTGTTATTTAGATTGTTTTCTTTGGCTTACAACTTGTAACGTTTATATCTTAAGCACCTGTCAAATCAAAATGTTATAAAACTTTCATAAGTAAAAAAGAAAAATAATATTCCAGTTAACATTTAGGAACGCAAGGTAATAATTCCATGAAACAAGAAAACGATGGTAATAAAAGTATGACCTCCAGATTTATCTTTATAAAACAAATAACAAATTCGATCATCAAGTTATAAACGGGTACATTTTTAACAGTGATTATTTACGTTTACATAACATATAGCTTAATTGAGTAATATTATCTGTTAATTTCAAACTAAATAATTTTATCAAAACATTATCTAAAATTATATCACGAGACCGTAGGTAATATTTTATTTACCACATAATGAT